CTTGAGCAGGCCAAACCTCGAGAAGATTTCTTCTTTGATCTTCTTAGTCCTGGTAAGAAAAAGCTTCTCTGCCATCCAGGTGATGTCCCTTTAAGTAGGCTGCTCAGCTCATTTACCATTGCTGCCCTGCCTTCTTACCAGCATGCGCCATCAAAACCGGCTCTCCTTGGCATTGCCGAACCCCAAACTTCCCACAGCTGCGGTCTGGGAGCTGGGGGCAGTTGTTCTCTGTGAAACTTGCAAGCAGCTCGGGAAGGCTGTTTGGAATTGGGCTCCGGAACCTCCCGGGCCCCTCCTCGCTTCAGTCAGTTGCTACCTGCGGGGGCAGGTGGCTGTAAGCAGAGTTCCCAGGCTTGGGCTGTGACCAAGGCAGCTGGGAGGATTCAGCCGGCAGTGGCTGCAAAGCCTTCCTCAGCAAGGTGGGCATGGCGAAGGCAGAGAGCAGCCTGCTTTTCTTTACAGTCCTGGAGAACAGTAGGGGAAATCAAAGTCTCCAACAGGTCTTTTTTTAATAAAAGCGTGGGACATTCAGGAATAATCAGCAGTTTTTGTGTCCATAGTCAATGCTTTAGACATAGGGAGGGGGAACCCCTCCCCTTTTTTCTCCGTACACCCCAGAATCGAACACCTGGGTGCACAGCATAAGCAAGGGGGGGAGGGGATTTTAGTACTATCACTGTGGCTGCTGCGTTGGCCTCTCAGGTGGGCAGAGTGCCGCTTCAGTAGCCGACTGTGTTTGGCGCTGTTCTCCGACCTGCTTCTACTCAGCAGCTGCTTTGGGAAGTTAAGTGTCTCGAGCCCAAAGTCCTGTAGGGCCATTCCTCCTCACTGAAGTCCGCGTTTGGCCACTCAGGGGTGCTCTGTCTGAGGTATGCAGTCTCTGCAGCTGTCGTCTTCTGTTGCCTCCCTATCTGTCTTTTTTTTTTTTCTCTATTAAGTCCTGGAGGGAGCATCTCTGCAGTCCCTCCATTCTCTGCAACTTGCTCTCTGATGCTGACTGGCCAGCTGAAGTATTGAAGTCCCATCCTCTTTCTTGTCTGGTGATTGGGTTAGCCTGCTGTCAGCTCCTGGGACATTCTTTTTTCCTCTGTGGTTAGGAGCACCTGTAAGAGCTGCTGGCAATCATCCCAAGTGGGCTGATGAATAACCAGAACAGATTCTATAAGCCCGGTCACAGCCTGAGGGTCCCGAGAAAAGGAAGGGTTGTAAGTAAAGATTAGAAGCAGAAAAAGGCAGTATTGCAATTGGCCTGGTACTGAGTGAAGGGGAAATGTTTGGGAAGTCATTATCATTCTTCCCCTGTCCCAGTGTGGATGCTGAGTACCGAAGTTTTGGGGCTAGGGCCCGACCAGCGGGGCTCCTCAGGAACAAAGTGCTTCCTCCGGGGGAGAGGGAGGGAGAAGTCTGTCATGCACGGCTGGACATCAGGAAGAACCAGAGGTGCCTGGATTCTGGGTTTCTTTTGCTCCTGTACAGGAAAGAGAGAAGACAAAGGGCTTGGGGAGGGGCAGCCATCATCTCCTCCAGCAGTGGGGCTGCTTTCGGAATCAGGGAAACTGATGATGGCCAGGGGGCCGGTGCCAGGTTCTGAATTCCTGCAGGTGGATTTTAACAAAGACAAGCCGACATACAAAAACAAAAAATATAAAGAGACAGACATAAACTCAAAACCAGAAGCTGGTGCTCTCACCACCACTCTGGTGTAGAACTGAAAATACACAAGAACAAAAAGACAGACATAGACTCAAAATCAGAAGCCGCGCGGCAACAAACTGATACGAACCTGGAAGGGAGTGGGCGATAAGGGCCACACTCCCTAGAAACTAAGATGACCTAGTCGCTCCTAGTTTCACAAATTGCCAGTGAAGCGTCCTCCACGGCTGGGCCAGGGAGTGTTCCCGGACACGTCTGTCCCACTGCCTGGTCCCCTTCAAATTTTAGCCCTGCGCAGGTACAATTCTCAGATTACTAATTCACAATTACACAGAAACAGACAAACAGACAGACATAAAAATGAGCTCGTTTCTTTATACCTCCAACTGGGTCTAGAGTGTGTCTGGGAGCGACTCGATTCCCGGTCAGGGAACCAAATGTTGGACTCTGGCGTCCAAACACCGAGAAGGAGTCGCCCCCAGAGACCATCTCACACACTACAGCCGATGCAAAAGCATGAGGATTTTATTAATTCTGTCATGACAGGGTCCCCCAGCATTCGGGAAGCCGAGGGACCTCGAATAGCGGGTACAGTCTACTTTTAAAGGGGCCACAGAAGCAAGGGGGGTTGTTCTTTGACTATTCTGATTGGCTTATTTGAAAGGGCTATTACCAATAATTGACTGGAGAGCTGTTGCCAGATCAGATGAGGTAAGAGGTCATTTTGACCTCGTTTCCCAGGGGACAGAACCAAAGCATACGTATATGGGTAATTGTTCAGGAACTGAGTACGTGCAAGTGTAGCTGTTAGGTCCTTGGTTCCCAGGGGAGGAGGGGAAGCACTATGGCACAGAGGCTGAGAGGATTCAGAATTGTCAAAAATGGCTTCAGGATTGTCTTAAAGTCTTACACATAACATTCCTCTATTTCCCTTACAAGAACTATATAGTAAGACCCCTTGTCCAATTTGTGATGTTAGCGACTGTGTCTTATCTCTCTATCTTAGTCAAATTTTAAAACTTTTTGAGATTATAATTACATCATTTCTCCCTTCCTTTCCTTCCTCAAGACCTTGTTATATTCCCCACTCCCTTGTTCTCTTTCAAATTCATAGTATCTTTTAACTTAATGGTTGTAATTTTGAAAAATATTTTCTTGTAGATAACATATAGTAATATTTAAAACTTATTTTGTGCATCTCTCTTAATTTACTTAGAAAATTCAAGTTGACCACTGTTATTGATACTTAGCATTTTATAAGCTGCTTAAATTTTTTCTCTGATTCTCATTTCTCTCTTTTCCTTTTCTTGCCTTACTGTAGATTGCCCAAATAATTTTTAGAACTCCATTTTGCATAGTTTTCTTAATATTTGTTCTAGATATTAAAATATATATGTAATGTGTCACGGGCTACCATTCTCAACATTTTACCACTTCTAATATAGTGTAGAAAATTTATTTTTATATTCTTTGAGGCTAGTCTCACTTTGTAGTCATGGCTGGCCTGAAGCGCTGCTCCTGCCTCTCCCTTCCAAGTGCTGGGATTACAGGTGTGAGCCACCACACTTGGCTAGAAAATCTTGATTTGCTAGCTCTTTTTACCATTCTACTTTTAAAATACAAGTTTCTTATTTGTCTTCTGTATATAAAATAGACTTTTCTTATTATATCTTTTAGATTAGCCCTACTGTCAGGTTGTAAAATTTTGCTTGATTTTTGTATAGAAAAACATACAAGGAAAAAGGTAGTATATTATATTTATTCTGAGTGTTAGGTAAGTCATTGTTTTCCTTCCTTTCTAAAGTTCCAAGACTCTTTCTGGTATCATTCCTCTTTGTTTGGAGAGCTTCCTTTAGCCACTCCTTTATGATACATCTGCTAGTGAAACTTCTATAAATTTCCTCTGTCATCTGAGACTGTCTTTATTTCCCTTTCATTCCTGAAGGATATTTTCCCTGAACATGGAATTAAGAGTTGACAGTTCTTTTCTTTCATCATTTGAAAAATGTACCACTTCCTTCTGGCCTTTCTGGTTTTGGATGAAAAATCTGCTATCATTTAAATCAGCATTCCTTTATAGGTAATGTATAGTTTTCTCACTAGCTTCTTTCAAGAGGTTTCTCCTGACACTTTGTCTTTCGTTTTAAAAGGTTCTTTATGCTGTGTTTTGGTGTGGGTATTTTTGTTGTTTTCTGGTCTAAATTTGTGGGCTGCGGTACCAATGACAATTTAATTTTTAGGGCCCTACCAGTGCCATTGTGGTCTGCTTGTGTGTTAATCAGACACCATCTTGAAAACCTGAATCCCAGTGTGCCACACTGCTAGTTCAGTTCCAGATCTGCAGGTGTGGTGAGCTAGGCAGTATCACATTTGGGCCAGGCAGGTGCCTTCCAGGCACTTCCCCTACAGATTTAAAGAATCCCTTTCTCAGTCTCCTGCTCTAAGAGAGCTTTCCTTTACTCTAATTGAGAGGGTGCGGGGCACCAGCTGCTGCTGGCAGACAGGGTGAAAGTCCAGACTTCGCACTCAGTTTCCACTGGCATGGAAACAGCAGTGGGGAGGGGGAGCACCTGTCTGCATCCTCCGCTGGTGCCGGATGGTGGGAGGGGAGCGGCAGATGTCCTGACTCCCCATGAGCTCTCTGCTGATGCCACAAGCGATAGGGAGGAAAGTGTCTCCCCAGCAGCCTGCCTTGTGGTGGGGTTAAGGGATCTGATTTTCACTTGGTCCCCTGAAGTGCCAGTAGACTTGGGGGTTGGAGAGTGTCTGCTAGGGCCGTCCACTACCACTGCTTGGGTTCAGACTCAATATGTTAACTCTGGTTTCCCTGCGGCTGTGGTGCAGTGGGGGTGGAGGTCTTTGCTACTGGGTAGGTATCCACCAAAGCTGCCAGTTGGGCAGAGCACGCCTCTGCCAGCTGCCTTGTGTGTTTGGAGGATTGGAGCCCCTGCTGACTCTTGGCTGATGCTGCCAGCCAGCAGCAGGGAGGAAAGTACTTCCCCAAGCTCCCTGGTGCCTTTGGGACTCCTGCTTAATCTCAGCTGGTGTTCTCTTATGGGAGGAGTGCTTTTCCTCCAGCTGTCTAGGGCCACCAAAGCAAGTTGACAAGCTGTAGGCCCCACTGACACCAGGGCACGACTGGTGTTGTCAGTTAAAGTTTTTCTTTACTGGGCTAGCTTTTTCTCCTTTCCCAGTGATTTGGCCACAAAGAACAGGTTTTTCTTTAGTTTGCTTTGCTTTAATTGAGGTTCTTGGTTACAGGTCTCTTTAGTACCTTTTCTAAACTATGTGGAAGATAAAAGGAAAAGTCAAGGAGCATACCCAAAGCCATCCCTAGAACCCTAAGGTCCCTGTCAAGTTGGCTTTTGGCTTTCCACCCTGCAGAGTCCCTTCTGACGAACCTTTGCATAGTTTTTCAGGGATTTTAGTTGTGTATAGAAGGGAACGGCAAGGAGAATTGAGTATCTACTGTCTTATAAAGCAAGCTTTGTAGTGCTAGGGATTAAACCTAGGGCCTTGCATACGCTGGGCAAATGTACTATTTATCTATATCCCCTGCTCTCTTTTTTGTTGTTTTATTGCAAGATTTTCACACTGTAGCCTGGAATATCATGAAATTCAGTATGTAACCCACACTGACCTCAAATTCACAGCAATCCTCCTGCCTTAGCCTCCTGAGTGCTGGCATTTATAGAAATGAGTGCCACCTAGCTCAATCTCATATTTTAAAACAAGTAAATGAAGAGCTTTTCAGTGTCCATTGGAAGACAAAATTTGACATTGAGGGTAACGACTTCAGTTTGCACTTTAGGGAATTATTTTTCTTAGTGGAGATACTTTCAGTTGCATAAGGAATGGTTTATCTATACTTCTTGAACCACTAGTACTAGTGACTAGTTGATGAAACAGAGTGCAAGATCTTGAAATCGCTTAGGCTGTGATACACACTATATGGTGGTGCTACTTGCCATAAATATGCTCAGGGGACCCAAAGTAAAAAGACCAAAGAAATCCAGAGGATCACTCTTGGCAAAATCTCCTGTTCTTTTTCTTACTATTGTTTTTCTTGACCATCACACCACAAATCTGCCATGATAAGAATCAGCAGCAGGCATTTTCCCTAGACAAGTAAATACCTGCTTTCCACATGGGTTCCTCTGCCTGCGCACTGCACTGTGCATGTAAATGTGTAGATAAGTGCTCTGAAGAGACACTGGCCAAAGAGATAATGGTAGTTACCAGTGGTGAGTGGGGAGTGAAGAGCTTTGTAGATTTAGCTCTTGTTTTTCTCCAGGGAAAATCAACCTCTATTTATAGTTAACAATTAATAAAGCAAAGCAATTGTGTGTGTGCCAAGCCACATGAGTCTGATTCTGAAAAGCCCGTAAGTTATGCTAACTTTCCGTTGGGTAAAATGTTATTTCACACTTGTGAAAGCCAGTGACACCTTATATTTGCCCAGAGCATTACTACCGTGACTTGCAAGAACATTTTTAGATAAAATAGGAAAATAGCTGACACTTCAAATAAAGAAACAATTCTAAACACATAAGTTTATCTTCACTCAGGGTTGAAATGATAATGCGTACAAAGACCTTTGTGTGTTATGGTTTCAAAATGAAATGCCCCCATGGGTTCATGTTTTGAAAGCTTGGTCTCTATTTGGTGGTACTGTTTTGGGAGGTGCTAGAAACTTCAGGAGGTAAGGCCTAGCTCAGGGAAGTCGGTTACTAGGAGTGTCTCTTTGCCTTCTTTGTACTATGACGTGATTTGCCCAGATCACAAGTCCCATTGCCGTGTGGACTCCAAGCGTCTGGAGTTAACAGAGCCAGGGGCTATAGACGGAAATCGTCACTGATAAGGAAACTAATACAATGCGTACAGAAGGAAAAACAAAAGAACAGCAGTAAGAAGATTTTTCTGGTGATGGTAGTAACATTTTGCTTTCTTTCATTTTTATTTTAAAAATTTAGGAGGCTGGGGGGATGGCTTAGTGCTGACAAGCACCTGCTACCAAGCCTGATGACCTGAGTGAGTTCAATCCCTACAACTAACATGGTGGAAGGAGAGAAACCAAGTTGTCCTCTGACCCCCGCATGTGCATCATGGCATGTGTACACATATTTAATAAACCTAAGAAAATGTTTATTTAAGTTTTTATTACGCTTCAAAGTAATGAGTTTCGTTATGATATTTTCATACACACATTACTGTCTCTTACTCATTTCATGCCTGCACTACCTGCCCCTGTCCATCTCCTAAACTGACCTCCTTTCTTCTCTCACATAGTTCTGCTTCTGCTTTCATATATTACACACAGACACACACAGACTCACTTCCCTTCCTTCCTTCCCACCCCCTTCTTTCTCACTTTCTCCTCTTTCTTGATTGTTCTCTTGATTATGTATGAGAGAAAATATGCAATACTTTCATTTTATTTTTCTATTACCCTCTTGCTCTGCAGTTCTCCTTCCACCCTTTAGACGTTTTCCTTTGCCCTAGTAGTCTTCCTTCTACTTTCATCTACCCCTCTCTTTCTTACACACACACACACACACACACTCACACACACTCACACACCCTAAATTCTGCTTATGATAAAAAACATTTGTCTTTCTGAGTCTGGATGAGAAACTGGTTTTATAGTCAATGTGATAAATTAATGAGCACTAGAAATCTCAGTTCGTTCGTTGCTGCTGCTAGTGTGTGTGTGTGTGTGTGTGTGTGTGTGCTGGTGAAAAAACTCAGTTCTACAGGTACTAGAAATGTGCTATACCACTGACTACAGCCCAACCATTAGTTTTTGAGACAGGGTCTCCCTATGTAGCCCTCATGACTTTCAACTCCTAATCTTCCTGCCTCTTTCTCCAGGGTGCTTTAGAGAACTTTTAACTCACAAGACTTCATA